CCCCGCCTCGCGCGCTCCGCCCGTGCCCTGCGCTGCTGCCCGCCCAGGAGCCTGCCGCTTGCCTGGGTTCGTGTCTCCTGCGCCCCTTTTCCAASAGGGGAACCTGGCCGAGGAAACGGCCCACTTCCACGTTAATAAACTTGTAAAACTGATCCTCGGCCCAGGGCCTGCTCGGCCTGCTGCTGCCCTGCAAGCTCTAGCTCTTCATTATGGCTCCAAAGGCCCAGCAGCCCCAAACTGACACACGCTTTGCAACTCGCTTTTTAGCAACCTGCTGTGTGCCGCAGCAGACATCACCCTGGTTCACCTGCAACAGCAGCAAAYGAGCGGCAGTTGAATTACACCAACCTTTGGCACAGATTGCCAGCTGAGCCAGGGCTGTGCCCTGGGTGCAGCACCCGCCGAGGCCACCAGCCTCGCTGGTCACCAGTGCCTGGTTCAGGGTGAGGCTGCAGAAACGCTTGGGCAGCCCCTCTTCAGGCACTTGTGGGGATACTTGACAAAGACACCTCAGCTCTTCTAATGTGATTTTCTATGAATAGCTGCAGAAAGCGCTTCTGCAAACTCAAATAGCCTCTAGAATCCAAAATGCAAAGTGGTGCAAAGGCAGTGGTGCTATCAGGTAAATAAATATTTGAGTTTCAGGCAGTGACTAATGAATACTAAGCACATTTATGCAAATTGCCATCATCAAATTTGAAAGCTTACTTAAAATGTTTCAAGACTGATCCAGAGAAGGAGCCAGTAAGCAATATGCACCTCCCTCCTGCGTGTCAACTGTGAAGAGACCAGAAATGGTCTTTAAAGTGCCCTAAATACAGAGCAGTACTGTTGTTCAAACTACAGGGCTAAGTTCTCTGAGGCTTGTAACTCTGCAAAGAACAATAATATATACAAAGAACACAATAATATCTACAACAAAATACATATAATAATTATTTTACTTGACTAAAGCAAAGAAATACGCTGAAAGAATCACCTTGCCCTAATTATAGGCCAATCTTCCAGTATTAAGTGGTGCTGCCGGTGTTGCTTACTGAGGATAAATAAATAAACCAAACAAACAAAGTTTTGCAACACATTTCAGTAAGCAAAGAAAGGACTTAGGGTTGTTCAATAGCACCAGCAAATAACCAACAAACAGCACTAAATAAACACAAACAGCACTAAGCAGCAAAAACGCACCAAGTGCGTTTTGCTCTCTTCTCTACTAGCACACATCTCTCCTGTGTGCTGTTGTTCAAGAGCAAGATTGACTTGGATGGGAATTAAATTCAGCACTTTTTGAATGGCAGCCTACTGCTCCTCTTAAGAAAAAAAAACATAAATRCCATTAAGAAACTATTCTTGCCACAGTAAGTGACTCTATGTGCATGCCTGGACATCTTGTAAAATGACAAACCACAAAATCCAGTAGTACTTCACCTCTGTAACTTTACTCCATAACCGAACTCACCTTCTTTCAAACTTACAATCACTAGGCATGTTTTGGCATCCAGGACATCATGGACAACTTAAAATAATAAGCAGCATAAATAGTTTTGGATTGAAAATATATACACTTCAAAATTCTGATTCTTCTTCCTTTTTTTCCTTAGTCCCTTTCCTTGTCAAAATATGCAAAAAATCCATCTATAAGGATTCTATTCCTTGCTTTTCAGCAATTTAAAATGCAGCCATTAAAAATTTAAGACTGTATTTGCCTCAGAAAAATGTCAATTTATGATATGGGAAACACATGTTGTACATTAGTTTTATTCTAAACATACATGTCATTTTGAACAAATAAAACGTTAAGGTAATAAAAAGCATTGTAAGAATTACTATTAAAAATAATTATGCTGCATATTCATAAAAAACATGAAATTGKTTAGTTCTTTGGTCACATAAAAGTATAAATTTATTTTAACAGCAGAAACAAAGATGATACACATGTACAAACACACAACATACATAATACACATTTCATAAGTATCAACATCTTACATTTCAGTTTTTCAATTTTGTTTCCACAGCAGTATTTAGCTGCATTTTAGCAAAGACTTCTATTAATTTAGATTAGTTTTAAAATAAAAAGTAATAAATTTGAAGAAACTGAAGCTGTGAAAAAAGTAAGCCTGCAAACGTGGAATGTTCAAAGAATTAAGTGATAAGATAGTAAAATCAGGATTGCACATGTAAACGTTTATGCAAGAAAACTCCTGCAGTAAAGATAGTGTTCATTTAAAATGAAAATAATTAAGTCCTGAGAATAATGACGCAGAGCCATGACAGTCACGTACCAATTGTTTCATACTTGCACGAAGAGAGTAAACTTGGAATGTTCCTTTCCACCMACTCCAAACAATATTCTTAGGACAGATGATCTTCTCACCACAGTATACTGTTTTAAGAATTCTAATTAATAATCTCAATTAGCATGGCAGATGTTTATTTGCGTAACTCACTGACATATGGGGTATCTGGCAAAGCCAGATTTCAAATGTCAAAAGTGCGGAATATATATATTGCATCAATTTAACATTTACTGAAGTCATTTGAAAATATCATGTTATGGAAGACTGAAAGTATAACAGAAGATGATCAAGCAATGCTCTTCAAAAATTTTTTGATTAGGACTTTTATCCTTGCTGTAATTAAGCAGCATAACTATGCATATTTACATGGTATACCCATGGTTGACTCCAGTGTAAAAGAAAAAACATCATATACAGACCATTTAAAGGGGAATAAGTCCAATTTTAACCCTTTGTTTACATATCACTCATATTTGATTTTTTTTAATTGACAAATTAAAGCATTACTTGGCAGTATTACATATGAACTTAAAATCCTGGATGTTCTTGTTTTCAAGATGGTATTTTGGTAATATATGGGTAAAAAGTGCTAGAGCTTATACGTGTGGTTTAGATAATTCAGTTTCCATCACAATTGATGACTGAATCTGTGCAAAATTTTTGTGCATGCATTTTTTTAATATGGTATAGTAGGCAATACAGTATTTGCTTTTTATATATATACTTAATTTATTATCTACACCCAACTCAGTTAAAAAAATACTAAGAAAGTAGTTTATAGTAGAACATTTAGACAATTCAAACAACATAATTTTGTGTAAAATGTATTCATCTTAGACTTTCCTTTCTACTCTTCCCCCTTCAGGCATCATAGAATATGAATTTGATAATGTAATTCCTAAGGTATTGCTGCTGTAAGTGAAAAAGTACATATTCTGCTCATATGTATCTGGCTAACAACATTCTAACACTTCCATTTTATTGGGAAAGGATACATGTCCACTCAAACTTTCAAACAGTTTTATAAAAAGTTAGAAAAATATAGTCAAAATTTGTTGCATAACCTTCCTATATTCACTCTAAACACATGAATCTTACAAAATATTTTAGAATTGTTAAGCTGCAAAAATACCAATCACTGCTCAGCACCTGGAAAAAGGTCTTAATGAGAAAATACAAGCTAATATCATACAAAGGTACTTTTCTTCAAGGTTGCAGCTATGAATTTAAGCAAGTAAACTTCCAAAATATCCAGTGCCACATTCTTGCGAGCGTCCTTGGCCACATAAACATTACTCGCTTTCACGCTAAATCCTGAAGAAATGCTGGTGAATGTGCGTCGTAACTGCCGAATGAAGTAGAAAGTCTTATCAACTGACAGAATTTACCGCAGGTTTAATAGCCTCCAAGTTCTTATTTTGCAAAGAGCTGACAAGTTTTCCTTGGAGGGCAAAAACTGTTTCTAATAAATTTCTTGATCGTGCTTTTAAAAGGTCATCTGTGATCCACTTAAGCAATGACATCATGGATATCACTGTTGGGTCTTTGGCGCATAGTCAGTGGTGGTAGAGGTTTTCCRTAGAAATCTGTATAAGAAACACCAGAAAAAAAAAACATATGAATTGAGCATTTACTGTCTTCCTTGCTTGAAGGCGTCTTTGATTCAGATAAAGTCTGGCTGCCTTAACCAAAGCTAAATGGCCTGCAGGTTTAGAGCTAGTTCCTACAAGCTACCTCCAGACATAGCGCTAATGAAGGGCTGCAGGTATACTGGTCAAAATGGTGCTTAAAGTACATTTATTATACAACAACATCAGCATTTGCAAGATCAAGCCCCTAAGTAGTTTTTAAACATTCTTAAAGCTAAGATATGAAATATCCCAAATGTGCACGTAACAACTGAGGAAATGWAGTATCAAAATTGGAAAGCTGCTGCATTGCAATATAATTTTAAGTGACAATAACTTCAAGTAATACTCGAAATTTCTCTATGTATAGTATGATTTCTATATGGCAGACACCTAACTACGTAAATAAGTCTTTCTTAAGCTTTATTCAAAAATGCAACATTTTCTGTGGCCAAAAGAGTTTAAGTGAAAAGTGGGAAAGTGATCAAAAAAAAAAGCTAAGTACAGGAGAAGAGAATAAAACATACAGTCAAACATGTTATTAATAGAGAAAATACAGACTTGTATATGCACCACGTTTCACAGACAAAAGAATATCAAGAAAGGTGGTAACAGGAAACAGGTTAAAAAAAAAAAAAAAAAAAGGAAAAGCAGCTTTCTGAAGCATTCAAATCTCATTTTCAGTTATGCTGAAAACCAGCTTGAAGCAACCATGGCCGGGCAACACAAAGTGCAGCTGTAACTGCCCACATTCTCACTGTATCTACATGTGCAAAAATTGGTGTTAAAACAGCATCTCTGAGCTAAAGCTAACAAGAGCATGCAAGTTGGATCACCAGACCTCAAAAATATTCATCCATGCCTATAGGATCAAGGCTTCAATTATCCTTACAGCCCTTCAGTGGAGTAATTGTGTGTCCTGCCACAATTCCTTTGTTAAGAGAACTGCTGTTGATGCCATGGTATCAAAATACCAACATGAGCATTATCATGATATGCTCTTTAGAAGATATATGAAAACCTTTACAATGAATGTGGACAGGCAACTCTTAAGTTCTGAAAAAAAGAATGCGAAGAACAGGACTGGCAGATAATTTCTGCTCCTGTAGTGRGGGATGTTTATCCCTCTTGCAGAAGTACCCTTCTGTGCTCATAACCAGACACTCATTACCAAGCATTGTGCTAGCACCATTAGCATGGCTGGCAAAATAGCAGCCTTTAGTAAAAATAACTGTATAATTAAAGATTTATATAATTGAGTATTATGCCTGTTAACTCTGCCTAAACATCCAACATAAGGTTGTTCTCTGATATGAATGACACATAAATGATTAGATGTATATCCTGAATAGCCTGATTGCTAATACTTATATTTTTCAGTTTGACCATTAAAGTACTACGATAGATTTATGTCTTTTCTTAGCACAAAATAAATAAATAAATAAATAAATAAATAAATAAATAAAAACACTTCCACTGGTTCTTTTAACCTCATACTACACACATTTTATGTATTACAGCACTAATGTTCCTACTACATATCTGTGTCACTTAAAAAAAAAAAATTAAAAGTGTAGAACAGAAAATTACCTGCTATACTAAGCTGACAGACTTTCACTAGAGTGCATGACAATACTGAGAAACATTTTTCCTGTTTTTTTTTCATAAACTAGTGGAACTCAGCACTACAAAAACTCGTATTTGTTTTAAAGCTTGGAAGTATAGATTCTTGACCTATATTTATAAGCTATCAGGGTTTTTTTTCAGTGATACTCTTGAATGGGGACTTTGCTGAAGAGTACTTCAGAAAATAACATTTAAGCACAAACACAGATCTTGAAACTTTTAAAAATAGACTGTTTAGATTGTACAATACCTTTTTTAGGATTATTTCMTAGCTCTTATGGATATCAACACCTTTACCTACCTAAAAGCACCCACCAGGCATCCTACATTGTAATTTTTGTTAAGCTAAGCTAAGCATTGTAATTTTTCAACCTAGTCTATATGAATGCTACTCCAGGAGCTCATTTTTATGGTGTTGAAGGTTGGACTCAATGATCTTGAAGGTCTTTTCCAACCATAATGACTCTATGATTTTATGATTTTTTTCCTTATAACTCTTCAGCCACTTCAGCCATTTTTTTCCTTATAACTCTTCAGCCTTATAACTCTTCAGCAACTCTTAGCCAATAACTGATAAGGCCACATTTATAGTGAATTTGGGGCAAGTCTGAGGGGACAAAAAAAAAAAAGGCCACAAAAAAAAACCACACACAAAAAAAGAAACAAAAAAAAAGAAACAAACAAACAATTTGCTGAAAAGACAACCCACAAGAACTTGGTTTTCAGGAAGATGCAGTTGAGAAAATGTTCTGGATTAAATAATACAGAATAATAGATTAAATGTAGGTCTTAAGAAAACTCTTAATGAATTTCCAAGCAGAAACAGGTTCTCTGTGCAAAATACCTAAAACTTATTGAAAAACATTACTGTGTGGTAGCAAATAGGCATGGCAAGCTAAAATTGAGATTTCAAATGGTCTGAGTATAAAAAAACAACTGCTTCAAGCAAAATAAATAATTGGTGCTCATTGATTATTAGGATCTAACCAAAGTTTTGACAGTACTGGGCATGCATTTGAAGAGCTCTTTTCATCTGCAAGTATTTTTCTAATAGATGTTTTCTTGCTCTCTCGGAATTCTCTGTATCACTTAGTAGAGAGCAGCTTTTTAAATGCAGTAACAACTACTGACCCCACTCCTAATCCTTGATAAGGAGCGGTGGGAGTGAATCTTATGAGGCTGCTGAAAGCATGGTAGTGACGTGGCCAATGCCTCCCACCATCCTGCAACACTTCTGCCTCTTCCGTGTCAAGACACTACAACTGGCAARGAGAGCTTCGTGTTGCTTGATGTGAAGCACCAAGTGAGTTTTGCTTAGGCAGAGCTTCACCTACGCGTTCCACAACCTGGGAGTCCTCAACAAGAATATGCGTGCCAAATGTAAGGATACTGAAAAGCTTGCAGGAGAGAACAGTTGAAAACGGTAACACAGCATTTATACTGTGATGGTTTGAAAGCCACCATTAAAGTGGTCATTAGCATGAAAGCCTTAATCCCCAAGTAAACTGGCAATATTTAAAAGCTGTACAGCAGGAGAGGTTAAGAAGTAACGTTTCATTTTTCTTACGCAACATCCAGTGCAGGGAGAAGTAAAGATTTCTTCACACTGTTAGTTAACAAAGGAAGATTTGGAAGGCTCATAGAAAGAGCCTAACGACAGAGTACTGCAAAAATTCCACGCTGCTGAAAATTATCTTTGATTTCTGCCAGTGTAGGGGAAAAAAAAAAAGTGTAACAAAAATATCTTGGCACAGGACATTTTGCCATTATGCTGGTCAGTAATATTCCTGAAGCACCCCCTTCCCAAATCTCTGAGAAAAGCACAGACAGGGTTTTAAATTTACCTGCAAAGTTCTGAGCACCCCAGATTTCTTCTGACCTCCTGGTTACATCTCTACACTAGGACAATGGTCAAGAGAACCTTCTTTGATCAGCGCCCTTCTCACTGCTTGGTTCCAAAATAGTTCCATTATTATCCTGGTTTTATAAACAGAATAAAGCAGCAGCACAGACCTCAGGTGATCAGGTTACGTAACCTGAGAGTTGGGAACTTCACTTAAGATTCTTTTCCCCCCTCTTGTCCCACCCATTCTCTTACTACTAAATGCAACACATTATTTAAGGCACTTGTCAGATAAAAGCAGAGATTACGACCCCTTCCCTTTCCTCCCCTCCCTACCTCTTTGTCTGGCTTTTCTTTCTTGCCTTCTTCTTTCTATACTCCTTAAAAAAAAAAAAAGAGCAAGATGATTTTATGATTAAGAATTTCTGAAATACAGACTACAAATTACATTTTATGCATATGAATTGTGTTCCTGTGAAAAACAAATACTTAGTTTTTAGAGCTCTCATTTCCCTTTCCGGCAGCTTCTGATTATCTGTGGCTTGATCATCTTTCAGCAGAAGGGACGTTCTGAGAGTGCAGAGACGCTTCATGTTCCAGTCTTCAGGACTTCAACCGGTTTGTCCACATGATCTGCACTTCATGATCTAATCAGCTCAAGTCAAGGCTAAACTCAGTACACTGCTACAGCAGCACTCATTTTTTTTTTTCCTCTATTAATTCCTCAATTACTGGTCTCTTTGTTCAGTTTATATGAGGATGACTTTTGCTTTGGCTGGATTATCCTCCCCTGATATTACTCCAGATGGTCCAGATTGTCTCTATATCAACTTGGCTTATCAAGATTTGCAAAATCATTATGTAGTAAAAATGAAGAATTTCCCCTCTAAAACTGGGAACAAGACACTATCAGAGTATAAAAAACAATCTTCTATGGTCTCCCACAAGTGGAAAACAGTCATTATTAAAGACAGAAATCATGGGTACCAAGAATTTACCTATTAAACCGTGACATCTTGAGCCATTAAACTTATTTCTCCAACCAGCTTGTGAACTTTCAGGACACTGGCTCTTCATGTAGAAGAGCAGATCCCAAGCTTCATCACTGACATTTCTCCTTGCAGATCAGTACCCTAGTTTTCAGTTAGAAGCCCCACTTTTGCAGTCAAGTTTCTGCTGGGCCTTTCATCAAAGTTGTATTTCTAGTTCTTCATTTGGAATTCTTAGCAATTGTTAACCTTCTGACAACAACAACAAAACCTCCAAAGAAAAGTCAAGAGAGCTTTCTGACCATGCTTTTAGAACTGTATAGAAACAGGAATGGATGCAAGAAAACATGGACTCTCTCAAAACACAACACACAGAATCACACAACAAAGTTGGTAAAAGTGACCTAGTTCACAGAACTACAGAAATACATGAGTCTAGTTTGAGTTCAGTATTGTGAATGACACTTCCAGGCTCAGATCATGAGCAAGATCAGCGTGGAAACAAAAAAGCAGCTCAGGGCAGAACCAGCCTGGATGTGATGGAGCAGTATGGATCCCAAACTAATAAATCCTGATGACACGGTTCTCCACAGAGATTTGTATTTGCAGTTTCTCTGCAGGCAATGCTAACATGATTCTCTGCAAACCTGGCGCAGGTGTTTGTGCAAGGTTCTCTCTGATAACTCAACTCTGGTCCTGTGTGTATTAGATAATGATGAACTGTTTACCTACAGACAACGGAAATATACTTTGAATGTTTTATATCTTTGGACATTTAGAGGAAATACCATTATTATTATTATTATTATTATTATTATTATTATTATTATTATTATTATTATTATTATTATTATTATACAGCACATGCTGTTGAGCAAACAGTATCAATCATTAATAGTTTCTGATATCCCATGACATTTTAAACTTTGCAAAAGAATCTGATTTTTTTTCCCCTTAAAGAAAGAAATAAGACCAGAAAAATCAAAAAGATGCTTTCTACTAAGCAAAAGGGTTAGCTTTCGGTCAAAGGAAATTGGCATTTAGAAATTAAAAAAAATGAAAAATGAAATGAATCTAAAAGTGAATGAACAATGGAAAATGCTTTAAGAAAGTTTCACACTCAGAATGTTTTAAATTACCAGCATGATGTTTTTCACCAAGAGGCTCAAGTTTTCGAAGTCTATTAACTTTGGGAGTTCCCCAGCCAACTGAAGAAAAACAAAGACAGTCAAAACGTGTCACTAGTACACTTGGTTCTGAGGAAATGCATGAAAGTTTAGAGAAATGAAAAGCATCTTAGAAATGCATAAGTATGTAATGCAATACATATCTGCTGTATACTGATGAAATAATTTTAAAATAAACCACTCTGTTTAAAAATATTGATATTTTCAATCATTGTTCTTCATCGTGTAGTCACATTGCTAATCCTTTTTTTTTTTTTCTCTCTCCTCAAAATTAATAAAACCTCCCAGGGAATTCATGAAATCAGTACTGCTGAAAGTTCACAATATCAATTGAGAAATTGCATGATTCTTACAGAAGGGAAGTTTTAGTAGCACATTTCTGCATGAAGACTATTTCAGTTTTACTACACACAAACGAGTATTTTAAAAGCTTAACTGGCTCATACTGAGATACCTAYTGAAATAAGTAGCATCCTTACCTGGTGGAAGTGGTGGCGGTGGTGTAGGGTTTTTGGGAACAGCATCCTCTGAATTAACAGGTTCTACCCTGTGGCCTCTTTTTAATTTTGTTTTTTTCTTCTTCTTACTGTTATCTGTATAAGGCAGAAGTAGAGCATTACACACCCTGTAGCCATCTTTCCAAAATACATCATTYGTTGATGAGCACAGTAATCAGAGTGAAATACATCAGCATTTTCAGTCCATAGTTGCACATTACAACAAGTCCATCAAAATGTAAAATTTACATAGCAGATTTTGCTTTAATAAACAAAATGTAAGCAAAAAATATATGCAACTCTACCTTTTAATAAAGAAATGCAACTCGGCTTTGTATTGATGGAATCTGGACCACATATTTGACTAAAATAAAAATGGAGCTAGTTTTAGCTATAATTGGAAAAACAGCAATAAAAACACACTAGTATGAAGTAGATTTTTCATTAAAATAGCCTGATTATGCATATGCATATGTTTGCAATAGATTAAACTGGCACGTGGTGCCGTGAAATTTAATGCAAACACAAGAAAGAAATGTCTTAAAAGCAAARCTAAATGAAGCGTCATCAGGAAGTGGTTATACTCAGTTTGGCACTTTTACCTGAATCAAGGCATTCTGATGCTTGCTGCTCACTCTCTTCTTCATTCGGTAATTGCTGTGTAGATTTGCAGGTATCCAGTCTATTATTGTGTGGGTTTTGGCTACTGCTACTGGAGTCACCCATTTGTTCCTGCCCTGTTTGAGATTTCAAGACAACGGTAGCCTTTTCAGACTCCAACCTTTGCCTCTTCTTTTCCTTTTCAATTTGTTTTTCATTCTAACAAAAAGTGTAAGAAATTTTTTTTACAACTTTTTAAACTAGCTAATAAGACAGGAAGGTTATCTTAAAAGTTAAAGTTCCCCAAAACACTTTTATATGCCAGATGCAGTGTAGAAAAGATCCTCAAATATAGTAAATTATCAAATAAATTATCAAAATAAATAATATGAATAAATGACCAAAAAGTTAACATTTCCAATATATTCTCTAGAAAAAAAGAAAGAGCCAACAGCAAAACAAAAATCATCTTTAGTTTTACAAATGATTGACATGTACAGAAGTTTGCAGCCTGAAATGTTTGTCACATGAGAAAAAGTTATTAGCTATATAAATGACATGAACAGCCTTAGCAAGAGAGAATCTGCTGGCTTTTTCTTTTTCCTTTGTTTTTGTATTAATTAAAATGATACACGCACAGAGCTTTTAAGTATCTGGAAAGTAATAGCATAATTTGCTAAAATATCAGTTGTGTAATGCAGACTTGATACAGGTCCTATATCACAAAATCAACAGCCTTGAAATACAGCTGTATCATCTCTTAATACTCTTACTCTTTATGATAATATGAGATCTATTATTGTGCATGCAGCTGACTTGAAGAGATAAGTAGATACAGGATTTCTCTTGTCTTGGAGAAAAGCGTTTGAATTATTTCCCAGGAGAGTCTGTGAGAATATATTTCTCAATCTTAAATCAACTGAATGAAAAATATGTTACAAGAAATAGAAGGCCATGACTTTACAAGAAACTAACAGACCTCAAAATATTTTCACTCCTGCACATCCAGTAATTTAATCAGGAAATGTTTGCAGTCATCTGCTTACAACATCTTGCTTTTACTGTGTCTACAAAACTTTCTTGCCCCGAATCAATAGTAAGATGTTTTCTTAGCATGAAAACATTGATTCAATGCACATAAAACCAGATTGCCAAGATAAAAATTAGCAATGTGCTTTCCAGCTTATAATAATTCCTTTAAATGAACCTTTTTTCTCATTACCTCTCAGACATTTAATGGTAGCTCTAAAATGATCCCGATTTCCACATATTCTCATACCTCAGAGATTACAGTTGCTATAGGCTGGAAAGGGTTTTCAGGCTTCCCAGGCCCAAAGTCTTCCTCATCAGTTGCATTTCTTCCTTCTTCTTTTTCCCTTTGTTGTCATTAGGGTTTTGTTTGATGGTTTAGGGTTGGTTTTTAGTGGACGGGGCGGAGAAAAGGACCAATGCATTAGGAGGAGGAGGAACCATACACAGACTTTACATAATAGAGAACACTCACTAGGGCACCCAATTCTTCCCCCACCCAAATCAGCTATACCAGCTGATTTGTACTCTATGCTTCCATAATTTGAAAAATACTCTACAGGAAAGACAGATATGAAAGGGTAATATCAATAAAGCACAAATGTATTTTAAGGCAGAGGTAGAGGCACATGCTTGCATATGCCAGGATCAGTACTTGGAAAGGTGGAAGTACTTTCTGAAGACAGGCTGTAGGACAAAGTATTTATATAACTGGAGGCATTTGTTGCACTGTGCTATATGGAAATACTCAAGTCAGTTCCATCAGTTCTGTTACAAAAGTTGTTTTAAGATATTCAATAATACAAAAAAAAAATTGTCTACATGATGTAAAACAAGACCTAAAATTTATTCTTCTATTTTTCATAAACATTCATTTTTTCCTAATGCTAGAAGCTCCTCAGTATATTGAAGACACATTAGTGACACACTGTTCTGTTTATGGAATACAGTCAGGGAATACTACTTGTTTCTACTCAGAAAAGTTCAGAAAGACAAGTACAGCTCAGTGTACTTCTGTTGCAACAGCCCTATATATTTTGTATGTACTACAACTTTAGGCAAGAAATCGTATTAAATGACTACACATCTAGTTAGTTTTCCTCAAAGACACAAGGAACTTAGCAAAACGAATAAACTTTTAACCCAATTCCTCCACTGAACTAAAACAATCAAGAAATACTTAATACTTTAACACTTTAATGCAGAGTTTCTCATCTTGCTTTAAAACCTTGATAACTTGGTTTCCATTACCAACATGTTCAGGAATAAATCAAGTATCTTACGGTGAGGGAGGAGAGGGAAGCAGGAAAAATTACAAAAAAAATACCTTTCTTCTCGTATTTTTCTCACTCTTTCAGCTCGTTCTTGTTTCTTTTGTTCTTCAAAGGCTTTTTGCTCCTTAGTGTCTCTTTGGATGCGCTCGTGTAAGGCATCAAAATCTTTTGCTATGATCTGTAGGAGCCAATATAAACCTTTTTTTATTGATTTATCAATTTTTTTCCCATAACCCATGACAGCTGAGCAAGGTTCCTGTAAAAATAATGAGGAGAAAAGGAAGAAAATTATTTGTAGTTGAGTTCAAGTTACTTGGCTTAAAAAAAAAAAAAAAAAAAAGCTTACAAAACACCAAGAAGTACAGAAAATAAATTTGCATGTAGGTATTCTGTAAATTTAAGATTTTTTTTTCCAAGAAAGAAATTGATTTATTATCACCAAGTTTCATTATTTCCAGTTTCATTCAAAAATGTTTCTATTCATATTCATATCTGTAGAGATRAATAATTTTTCAATTATTTATCAAGCATTTATGTTCTGTCTTGCTGCTGCTTTACAATAGCCCAAGTTATATTTATATATTTCAATTTAAAAAAGAAGGCAATAGAATCAGCTTAGCTTCAGTTCACGGAAGAAATGACCAGGTTACCCATGAACACCTAGTAGATGAATAAAATCCATCATGAATTTGTCTGAAAAAAAATGTCAAACCAATCTTTATTAATTTATTTATTTTTAAGATCAGGACAAGCATTGGCTAGGGGTGGGTGAAGCAATACATTATGCATCTGGATTTGAGTAAAACTTATGTAATAACATCCTCATCAGGAAAAAAGAGAACCATGATCTGGGTAATTCTCTTGCAATATTGCTGCAAAACCCATTACTRGATTCTAGTTGCGAATACTTCACCTAAGTTGGATGCAACACAAATGCAGRTGCAAACACAAACGAGTGTAAGGAATCAACAGTGACAAAGCTTGACAAGCTTGATTAAAAAGCACCTCCAGTAAGAAAAGATTCAAGCRTTTGGAGTGGTGGTTCTTTTCTAGGGAAGATAAAACTTAAGGAAATAAGATATATGCCATCAAATACACAAAGGTTAACTGTAAATAGGAAAAGAATAATTTGTTCTTCACATTCATAACCAAGAAGCCAATGAGAATAAATTGGAACAAAAGAGTTAGACATARGGAAAAGCTTCTTAGCAGAAAGCTTTTAAAAACTTAACATACAAACACATCATTAAATTGTTATGTTGATTCTAGTTTAGACTGTGGAAAAGCCTAGATGACACCTCAAGGCCTCTTCAGACCTGTTTTCTTGGATCTTCTGGAGTACTATATGGACCTTTTAAGCTGTTCTGTGAAAAATAAATCATTATGTCATGCTATTTATTTGAAAAGAAGGAGGAGCAGGAATATTTCACACTGATTACGTTCAGGATTTGTTTTCATGCTGGGGGAAAAAAAAAGGACTAAATCTGCCATGACACCACTAAAATTTCTCTCTATCATCTCTATATTTACAGGCATTTAAATGGCAGCACAGTCAGATACAGTTTGTACAATTTACAGCAGATAAAGTATGATGATGTATTGTATCCCCCAGAGTGCCAAAGAGACTTTGTGTTTTAACACCTTCTGAGTGTCTCTWAATTAAGGTTCAAATATGAATGCTGCTACCATAGAACTGTACTGTATTCTGCAGCAGAACCTAGCCAGGGAGAAGATGTACAGACAATGATATTTTGCCTCTGTGAGAAGACTAAGATGAAACTACAGAGGGGACACTGGGGCATTTTTTTTCCCAGGCTTGCACAAAGGTTATTGTTGCTTTAGCTCACTTATAAAATATACTCGAGCTCACTTATAAAATATACTCGAGCAGAGAAAAGAAAAGGATGGAGGTCATTCTCACGGTGACTGCAGGACAGCGAGACAAATGACTCTTTGAATTTACTTTTATATTTTACAGGGGAATTTAAAGATCCAGAAGAAAACTGATTAAAAAAAAATAATAAAAAACTCACATAAACAAAATGTTTTGGGATGCCTGCCTTCTTGCTTCATATATCCCTGCTTAAATGCACCCCATCAGTCATCACAGTCAAATATCCTGGGACTGGGTTTACCTTTATTGAGCCTAGCAAAGAAGCTGCCCATTTTAGCAGGTAAGACCTTCGGTTGCTCTCAGCTTAAAGTTCTTACAGAGCATACAATCCAGCTTCTTTATTGGTTACATCACGATAAAAAAAGAAAATATTTTACAGAGGTATACCATAAATTTGGTAATATTCTAATATTCTGGAAAGTATTCTGGAATCCTTGAGGTTTTCTATTTTCATTTGTTAGAAATGCTTTGTTAGAAAATATTTTTGCCACAAAATCTCTCAAAAAATCCTATCAACTGTATCTTTTATCAGTGAACAGAGAAAGCTTATTTAGCAATGAGTTTCCCCAAAATCTTGCTTTCATTTTCTACTTTTAGCTTGATATTTTTTATGTTCATGGTTGCTTATGCTGCAGAATACAAAGTCCCCTTCATACTTTAAAGGTCTGTGACATAACAGTGAAGCTGTGCCCCTGCTATGACCCAACTTGCTAGAAAAAATAACAAATAACTTTGTACTAATTTATGAATTTTGCACTTAAAAGACTTTAAATTTTTAAAACCTAAATACCTGATAGAACCATCCTCTACAACTGCCCTCCCGTGTCATTAATACTTTCAATGTAACTCAGATCCTTTTTTAAAGTCTTTCTTACAACAATTTAAAAAGATTATAAAACTAAACCCCATGAATATTTGGATAGCAGACTGGGTGATTAAAGCAAAAAGTCTTAAAAAGACTTCAAGGACTGTTGATCTGACTAAATTGTCTGTGATACTGATCCAATTTAGGTAGCCTTTATCCTCTTTCAATTGATGGTTTCATTGGGAGGGTACTTTTTTTTTTTTTTTAACATGAGCATAAATATTATATCTGAAATGTAGTTATTCTAGGACAGATATTAATTAGCTGTAATAGTGTTCTTTGGTGACTACTGTGCTGGGAATTAGATGCACTAAGAATTAGATTAAATTCTTACTGTTGGACAGAAGRCAGATTAAAGGATGGTTTTAGCTATGAACAGAAATAAGACCAACATCAGATACAAATGGAGTGGTCCTACTTGAGTTCTTCCTGAAGAGCTGGAATAGTAAACCTGCTGTCTAACTAGAGTTTTACAAGGTGTCAGAGCAGCCAGCAAATACACTTTGAGCACCTGCATAATGCAGACTCATACAAATTTCTTGAACATATCCAGAAACAGGATCGCGAGGTGCATAGTAGGATTGTTTGCCAAACAGATGTATGTGCTGCATCTTTGCCAGGACTGTAAGGTTCCGGTTTCAGTTGTACTCTGTTTGGCACAACCACTTGCCTCCTTGCAAATACTATACATATATTTGAAAATGTACTTACAATTTGACATAGACACTTGTGTTCATTGACAAGCTTTTCCAGACATAAGGACTCGATTACATCYGCTTCCGACAGAGCTCCTTCTCTGTCTTGCTTATTTGCCAGCCTAAAGATTGAAAAAAAAGGGATATTTAGCACCCTGACCCAAAAAGATGAGAAAGAGATGAGACAGACCCTCCAAACCACATTTTTGGGATAAGTAGGAAATAGAAAAGGAAAAGAAAGTAAAGCAAAAATATGTTGTTTCAGATTTAATTCTTGGTTATTCTTTCTACTTAAAAAAATGTGCTTGTTCATACACCACTTTCAGCGGAGATACTAACAATGAATAATTACTATGCACCCTTACACAGAACAATTACATTTTATCRTGAAGAAGTTGGAGGCAAAAGAACAAACTGCTTTACATCTAAGTCCATGCAGAACAATCTATTCAATCTATGGATTGAAGTACAGCACTTCATGACCTCTCCAACCATGGGCATTCCCCTACATGATAAAGCTGCTTCATTATCATCTGAGGTCTCTTTGCCATCCATAATTTCTCTCTGACTGTAGACAGACTGTAGACAGACTGTAGACAGTCTATCTCAGGCTGTAGACAGTCAGAGATAAGTATTGTCTTAAACCTGCTATTTTTAAGGAAAACACAGACCTCTGAGGTATGAACTTTCATAGGTGGTTCTAAAAGACATACTTGATTATTAAAGAGGGAACAAAAAAAGTCTATGAAACACAAAATAAGTATTTTGCAAGATGAAGTGGCATCACTGTCTTATTTCTAAGAAATATATCAGCAAAAAGGAATCCAGAAAACAAACATCTCCTTAATTTTGGAAGCATATCATTCTTGATGATACATGTATTSCATATTCTCCATAACTGCATCTAAAACCAAAGTCAGTATATATATATATTTATGTATATTATAAAATGTACAAAGTCCATCAGGAATATCATCCACAGACTGTTATTTACTTTTACACACTTTAACATAGGCACAGGTTTTGAAAGACAGGATGTTATACTCCTTTCAGTCCTGTTCTTAACACTACTATGTACGTAGAGAAGTCTCTCCAGAGCTACAAAGGAACCCAAAGCTTAAGTTCTGCACTTCAGCAAGGTCCTAGAGATACCATGTTCTAGCCACACAAATTAAAATTATTTCTTTTTTCAAAACTACTTCTTGAATCTCTGTTTCACTGAAAACTCCTTTATAGCATTTGAGACTGAAAAATGTCTCCAATTTAAAACCCTAAAAGGCACAAAACAAACTGTAAGAAAGAGCAAAAAAAAGACTGCTAGAAACTCTGTGGAGCCACCTCTTAAAAAAGGCAAAATCTTGTGACTAATTGGCATTTCTCTCAGCTATTTAAGAAATGATGTTCATGAAACTTGAGGTCTCAATTSCTCCATTCAATTGGATTTAAACTGGTCACCACCCAAGAAAGCAAGATGGATTACAGGCAGCGTGATTATGTTAAGACATGCTTCCTTAAACTAAAATCTTCTTAAGCATTCCCTAGCAGCATATATTTACGCTTCAAAAAAAAAAAAAAAACCTATAGTTGTAGAATTCAAATACAACAGAAAAAATAAAATTGTCAAAATTAAGATAAAATATCACATCAAACAATTCGTATGCAATAACATAAAAAGATGAACTAGGTAAGTACAATATTAAGTATTTTGGAACGTAAAATTGCAGCCATAGTGGGGTGATTTTTAGGAGGTAACTGACAAGCAAATTTTAGTAACAAAGACAGAATTTTAGATGGAGCTCCACAATATGTTTTACAGACAAATGCACAGGAAATCTTTTATGTTCCTTTAGGATCTAAGAGTTCTGTAAGAAATAAACAGAACTTCACAGGCGAGGTCAAGTCAACAAACTTCTGTTTTCATCTTTAGCAAAACCAGCTGGCAACAAGAAGATACAGGGGCTTTTTGCTCCCATTAGCTGTTTCTTATTAAAAGCTAGTATTGTTAGACCCTTTGTCCATAAGAATATTACTACTTGGCAAATACCTTGGAAATGTGCAAAGCTATTAAGTAATATTTCAGTAATATTTATGCTCCTGTTGAAACCTATTATTTTTCTTTGTGAAACATGTTACTGTTTCCTTTGAACTGGTATTGTTTGATTTTGGAACATAAGCATAAAATACAATGTGATTTTGCACTTTCTACATAGCCAAAATCCAAACTAAATGTAAAATCCACAAAGAATGTACAAGGCAGTGTTGGAGATTCTGAAAAACGCGCTCGCCTCTTCAAAAGCAACTTCAAAGAAACGTTCCAAAGTTTTAGCAATCTGCAAGAATTTACGTTTCTGGATAAAATCACAAATATTTGGTTTCCATCAACACAGAGTTAGATGGCTTTGACTGAGGTAGGAGAACACCAGTTCGTAGTTGTTTTAACTGGTATGAGAGCTGCTAATCTCRCACAGAAGCGGAAAACAAGCGCTGTGTTGCACTAAGAGCTCCTAAGAACCCAGCTCATCACTACTGATATTAGGGGGTAAAAGGTCAACCCCCTGCTTTGCCAGCCCATTCCCACTTCTGGTGGGAGCCGGGGTACCTCTTGTGTGGATTTTTTCCGGCTGTGCTTCCCGCAGCCCGCACGTTTTGCGCCTTGCGGGGCCTCCCTGGACAGGCCGGCGCCGCCTCCGCGCGCCTGCCCTCCGAACAGGCACAACCAGATTCCCGGGGCGGGCAGCGATCCCTCTGCCCGGCGCGGGCAGCCGCCTACGGCAGCTCCTCGCTCCGTCCCTCCAGCACCGCCGCAGCTCCCCCAGGACAACCCCGGGCACCTATTTATTTAAGAACCGGCGGGAGGCATGAGGGAAGCATTTCACAGAAGGCCGCTCGGGATACAGAGCTTAGGGAAGCAGCCAGAACAGCGTTTCTCCGGCTGCACTCGAGCTCGCCCTTAGGAGCTGCTTGGGAGAGGATGAAGGGGAGGCTGCCACCAGCACAGGATTACAAGGTAAGGAGCTCTCTTTACTCAGTGCTTACAAAAGTGCCAGTTTGAGGGGGGGGGGGAAAAAATAGTAGATTGTACAGTCCTTTTAGATTGTAAATGCACCTAAGTGTCAGAACATACTGATAATGGATATGTATCCCACAAAGAATGTGATCTTTCTCTGGGTGAATACGGTATCATCGCGCGATTGCTCATGCTCAGGAATGCAAAAATTATGCATAAAACTTCTTCAGGGAGTATGTGAGAGTTAGATAGAGCTTGATTTTAATTTTCCTGGTCAGTACAACTTCACACACAACTTTTTTGTGTGTCTAAAAACTGTAGGAGCTGTATAATCAAAACATACTGGAAAGCACGGGAGTGTCTGTTGGTTTATCCCATTAAGTTACCAAGTGAAAAGCTTCACATATAAGACTGTGCTTGGCTTATTTCAGTTTTGCAGACAACAGCAAACAACAGCACAACAACATAAACTTTTTCCCCAAAAATAAAAGGTAGGCACCAATTGCCTTTTTTATTTTCTAAACAGCTAGAAAGCTTTTGAACTTTATTTGAAGTCTCAGGAGAAACAGTGTGGCAAGGGAGTGTATGTGTGCGTTGGCACAGCTAACACCTGTGGTTCAATTAACAGCAGGTCTCCTAAAGGCAGAAGACATGCCAGTGAAAAACAAAGCCGGAATGGCAACTATGCGTGTTCCTCAGTGTGCTTCCAAAATCTAACGCTACTGATGAGAATGAAAACAAACCATTATTATAGTTTACACTCCAAAGGTTCTGTGAAAAGAAATCTAACGTGAAAAGGACACAACTATCTCAGCTTTTATCAAAATCCAAATAGTCAAAAAGTTGTGATTTCTTTTTTCATTTTTTTCCTGCTCTGATCATTTTTCCCCCCCTTTTTTTTTTTTTAATTTTCCTTTATATATATATATATACAATATTTGTTGCTTTCCAACTTCTGGATTTTCATTCATTTGTATGGGACTCTCACACATAACACTGAAAAGTATATATTGTAGGGGCACACTCTAAAGGGGAATCRGTGAAAAATAACCCTTCTAATAATGCTGCTTTTTGGGTTAAGTCTAATCACAGTCAGCTGCCTCAGATCCCAAATTTGGAGTCAATCCTGACCTGCCAAGATTTTAAAAAAAAAAAAGACTTTTTATTTGTTCTTTAATAGTTTGCTCCAAGCAAAGTTTTTTAGCTGCCCATGTTCTAGTGCCTGTTGCTCATCAAAATTAATGGGCAGTAAACTCTGTGATCAAAACACAACAGTATCAGAACAGTCAATGAATACAAGCAGCCTACCAAAAATGTATTTTTATGTGAATGATTTAGCCAAGATGAAGAATATTAATCTTTAAGGCTCCGCTTTGAAAAGCCATATTTGGGAGCAATTTAATCACGATTTAATGCACGTGGGGAAAACAGATGAGAAGGCAACTTTGAACTTAACTGCAATCTACACAAGGGAAAACCCAATATCTTCTGCTTTCATACATGGTTTATAGGAAGCTTCTCTCTGATACGCTGTTGCACTGCGTTTTACTGCTGTGGACGGCAATCAGTAAATTGCTACTAGAGAGATAGGGTCTGAGCAGTTAAAGCAGGAAATGCTTTGTTGGTTTCTGTATGTTTGTTTACGTTAACATCCATGAAACTCAAATTCCTGGTGAGCAAACAGAAAGAAAGGTGTGGATTTATCAGATTTGTTTCCCTGTTCCTAAGGATTTCATGTTCTTCCCTCTTCAGTTATTGATTGTACTTTAGCCTACCAAGGAAATTACAGAAAACAAAATTCTCTGCATTTCTGACACCAACAAGCAAGTTCAAGAACTACCAAACACTCTCAGATCTCCTGTAGAGACTTTTAGGCATTATTTCATTTTTCTTCTGCTCTTCATACCTCTGATTCTTGGGCAAAACAAGCTTTTGCAAATGAGGATGAGCTCTAATGAAAACCTGGTGACATGAGGTGCCCAAGGTGATCGASCTGCTAACATCAGTTGAGAGTCTGTGTACATCTAGCTGCAGGGAGAAGGGAGAGACACTTCTCCAATTCAACCCTGTCCTGAACCGGTTCCTCCAGTTCACAGTTAAATATAGAAAATACGTATATATAGGATTCAAAACTCACCCTGTTTTAGTATCTCCAGGCAACCCTAGAGCAACTCCTTTCTCATATATCCTTTTGAAGAGGTCACAAGAGTGACAATAAGTGTAATTTGTTTCACCCAAGGTAAATGGCCTCCTTCCCACCTCGGATCTGAATCATATTCTTATGCATCAAAAGGTGTAATTTCTCTGACATACTCTGCTATGAGTTGAATCATGCTTATTGGCTTTGTTCCAAACTGGTCCCTGGCCTCGCCACACAGATACTACATTTGACTTCCAGATGTAGAACTTCCAGAGTCAATAAACAAATGGTATTGCCACATATTTTTGCACTGGATTTTTTTTTTTTTTTTAATAACTGTAAATGTTATTCTTATCCTATACTTCACCTTGAAGACTTGAAGATCTGTTAACACCTAGACAAACAGCAGAGCTTTTAGTCAAGTTGTCTATAAGGGTGTTTTTTTTTTTTTTTTAAAAAAAAAAGAACTACCAGGCTGCATGGTCTGACAGAGAAGAAATGGGAATGAAAACTAGTTGGAAGTTTTGCATAGYACAAATTTTGAGTCTGCAGTTCTACCGTTAGAAAAACGATCATGAAAGAGATAAAGCATTGCAATCTTAGGGGAAGTTGTTAACTAGCAATTCAAATGACATGTCTAGAAAACAAACTGGATTTCACCTTCACACTGTGCTGCAATCCCATCTCTTGCTGCTAATTCATTTTCAAATTCYGGTTTAAAATAGAGCAGTATCTGTACCTTCACTATGTAACTTGACAAAGGAGAGAATGACTTTTCCTTGGGGATTTCTGTGACCTGTAGCTGGCATCATCTTTCTAACAGCTGATCAAGCAGACGTGCTGATTTCCAGTATTATTCCTGTCTGAAGTAAACAAAACAAAAGCAGGATCTACTTGTTTTTAGGTCTGAGGCATCTCTTAAAGAGCCTCAGACCTCCTGACATTAAAGATTTAATACAGATTTAAGTTTTATTACAGGAAAAACACTATCAAAACAATAAATAAATCTTCAGTTTTGCTTTCTATCAAGAGATGCTCAGATCTCTTACTAATTACAGAAAATAACCTGCAGACTSTTTCCTCCAAGTGAGATCACTGTTCTGTTATTCAAGACTTGCAGGTGCAGCCCATGTCACACTAACTGTGACCCAGTTCAAGTGCAGCATGCACAATCTTTGGTTATTTTTTCCCCCTCAAATAATCCATGCTTGAAAGCACATCAGTACTCCTTGAGCTCTTAATACCACCAGTAGAGAACAACACCGGGTCTGATTCTTCCTCCTCCTCTTCCTCTTGTGCAGAGTGTGTAGTATTTTACCCCTTCCACCTCCTCCTCCAAAAAACAGACCACCTTTCCTGTTCTTTGGCCATATTTTCAGTATGACACGGCTCTTAAATGTACCCAGAATAGGCACAGAGCTACATCAGTTTGACTATATTCTCGCAGCCATACTATTAGGACAACAACATGTCCATGGATTTTCTTTTTTAAATACCCATTAGCAGTTCCCKAAGATATCCCTAATTCAATGTAAGTAACAGTTCAGATAAACAAAGATGCAGTCTTTATGACTGGAGAATGGCTACAGGAAGCATGGACAAGCCTCACTGATGCTCTAAGATTTGTATGTTTAGGAGAATTTAGAGCTGCTCTTAATTTCAACAGTCAAGAAMTTGGAACTTCAGTTTAATAAGCTAATGTTCTTCTACCTACTGATTTGTTTCACCTTTACTCCATAGTCAGTCTCCTGCTATTTATCTATTTATCCCAATTTCCTCAAATGTGTACAAGGAAAAAATCCAGTGAGGGCATGTTAGTTTGTGCTTCTTTATATTAAAAAACGTGATAGTGTGAGGGACACAGAATCACATGAGTGTTTTCAGTCTACCCATCTCCTTTCTGCAGCTCTATATGAATAGACATTCCCCTCCTGTTCACAAGAGTCTCAAGGAAAACTTTTCATCTCAACAGAAAGGGCCACAGGATGCACCCCTATGCGTACACACGAACACRCAGAACAGCCACAAAGACTTGGGACAGGAACAAAGCTCTGCTGTGACACAATCAAGAAGTCAGGACAACAACCTTAAAGGTTATCTTTGTCAGGAAGACGTCCTTATTTATTTCCAACCAGCAGCTATTTCAATCGCCAATACAATTAAACACCTTTAACTGGCAAGCAAGTTCAGAGGCTGGTTTTGAAAGTGAGCCAGATAGGAAGAGAGACACGAAACACAAGCTGCTTACATTCCACTCTTCAGTGTGACTGATGTTTAAATAAGAACAAAAAAAAAAAAAATCCAGTCAACAGCAACCTGAAGTGTTTTCTGCTTAATTCTCCACAAGTTCAATACTTGAGAGAAAACTGATATGATTCATACTTTGCAAAGAGTCCCATGACAATCTCACAACTCTGTTCCTTTTTGTTTGCCAAGGAATTTTGTGCATCTGGCCATTTCCAGGCCACAACATTTAAACCATCAAAAACATGTAAGTTAAGAATATGAAACACAGTGTAATTCTTCTCTTCCTGCAATTAATTTATTCTCAAGCTAGATTAACCTTATGAAGAACTCCTAACTGCCCTTTTGAGAAACTAATGTGTTTTGATGGATGACTGTACACACACTTTAAGACTTTCCAGTAATTACTTGCACTTTCTTAGATACCAGAATGTCTTGCCACCTCTCATAAGCATTAACGGTTCCCTCATAACTTGCTTTTTAATCATCAGCCTGTCAAGCCATGTTAAATTAACACGGGTCAACAGATGTGTTAGGCTGCACCAAAGCAGAGTTTCGGGTCAGGTCTTTGAGGCCTCGTTTGGCAGCCCAGCTGCCTCTCACATGCCCCACAMGGAACTTGCCCTGCAGCAGCCTCGTGGTGCCAGGCAGCCCTCAAGCACTCCAAGCAAATGGYACCTTAAAGGACTCACAGGTCGTCTGCTACAGTGTGATCTGCAGCAAGTTAAGCCATGCAGAGGCTTTACTGCAATACAGTAGATATATCTTGTGTTTTTCCCACCTCCAACTAGTGTTTTGCAATAAATTACTTCCATGTGTGCCTGATCATACACCGCAGTGTGTTACCGTACCTCTAGTAGCTGTCACAGCTGTCAAGTTTTTTCTCTTTTCTTGCAGTGGATCTCTAATCACCAAACACTAAATTCAAATGTTAAGGTGATGGTGGGGGGCAGAGGAAAAGAACAATAACAGAATAAAAAAAGTTAAGGAAAAAATGCACTAGTAACCACATTAAATTATTCTTTTTGATGATTGATCTTTGTGACATTTTAGCTTTGCTTTCAGCTAATCCTTCTGCAGAAAGATTTAACTCTGTGGAAAACATGTTCACTCTGTTCGATTCCATGGCTTGTGGTGCGAAAATCTATTTAGATGTTTAAATATGCATTAGGGACCAGAGAAAGCACAGCAGTGTCATTTGTTAGGAGGTAGCAAAATCATCTGCATACTGACAAATTACTGCATCATTCCAAAAGGAAGCATTTTGTATGCTGTAGGGAAATGGTGCATTTTCTTACTAAAAAGTCTTTAGAATTTGGGATTTAAAAAAAAAAAAAAAAAATCTATAGAACTACTGCTTTATCACTTTGTCCTGAAATCTCTAAAACCAGCCAGAAAATACTACTCTGTGCTTCAACAATTGGTTCAAAGTGAGACATGGAATTAGCTGGAGGACCCYAAATACAAACCACAGATTCCATGAACTGATCTTTACCACAGGAGGGGAGCAGGCAGAACACTAGGAGCTATGTGGAGAGCACTCTCACCATCTCCCTTGGGACATCTCAGCTGCAAATCTGGGCTGTCTAACCAGGCATCTCACAGACTCCTACAGGAAAACAATATTATCCTTCAGCTCTGTGCAAAGAGTCCACTTTTAGGAACAGTGAGAAATTTTAAGGCAAGGCAAAGAAGCYTTCCTGAACACTCACTGCTTAAGGATATGGACCTTTGCTAAGAGCAGGACAGGGTTTCAGAGTTGGCCGTGACTCATTTCTGAATGCAGCCATGGCACGGAGCACASTCAGCAATTCCAGAATCCGTACTTAATGTGGTGGAAACGAGTTTATTCCACAATCATCTGCTTCTGAACACTTCAATTCTTCTTCATTCTTGAGCATTGTCCAAGAAAAACACGGAATGTTTGAAGAAAGTATATTCTCCTGTATGAATAAAAACTGTTCAACAAGTTTTCTAAGCACACCTAATAGAAATTTTCACTCAGCTAAAACAGATGACTGGGTACAGGGTTTTATATTCCTAAGCACATGCAGACATGCATCAAAGCTCGGGCTTCTTCATATTAAAATTACCAACAGAAATATTTAACACAGAAGTTATCTATCCTCAGTAACAAGTTGCTTTGTTTAATCAGGCAAAGATAACAAGATAGTGAGCAGGATTAAGGCAAACACATCAGCTTCCCAAAGGGCAACCTAAATTGTCTCAGATTTTAAAAGAGCAAGCCTKGTTTACTAATAAAGCGCTGAAAGATGAAATCTCTCCTTTTATTTGTGCCCATGCAACTTGTAGACCTACACTTATCTCAGGCCCAGTGGAACACATATCTAACTTCACAACTTTCAGAATCATTTTGTAGTCTTAAATCTTCAGTTATCACTGAGTTCAGTTACTCAGTTTCATCAAAGGTAACTTCAGTTACCTTTGGCCAAATAGTTTTTTGGCTGGCAGAATTTGTGACATCCCATTGACAGCACTACATACCAGCCAACTGCAAACTAACCACTGACACAAAGTTTTAAACCAAATGAGGAAATCCAAATATTAGTTAACATTAAAGCTGTAATGATAAGTAATTCTGATTCGTACAGAATAAAGTAACCCCTTTTTGCTCATGCAGCAGGAAAAAATAAGTACTCAATAGCAACAGCACAGAAACAGCCATAACAAATATACACACACACACACACACACACACACACAAACACACACACACACATATATTTCAAAGAAAGGCAAGCTGCCCAATAGATGCATAAAGGAGTGTGTGGAGTGGACATTTTACATATTTTAAGCCCAAGTTTGTTAACATGAGTAGCATCTGAAGGCTCCTGGGAGCCTCCTGCTAGTATTAAGAGTTTTTCCTCTATATAATGAGCTATACAATATAAACCTCTTACTATCAAAAGCACTTTCTTCAATATGTGAATTTTGAAGAGCTAAGTCAAATTTCAAAGCCCAGGATAGGGCACAATGAATGGAAGAGTTTAAAAACCCCAAAGCAATCCTTCCATAATCCTTGTTCCTTATATATAAGCCTCTTAAGATTAAAGTTGAATTCAAAAACATTCACATTCATGATTTTTATCTTTCAGGGTCACTTGGTCTGCATTTCATTGGTCTGCACAACTGAGTGAAGATCCCCTTCCATGGGCATTGTTAGGTTTAAGACAGGCAGACATTCAASAGCAGTTTTTACTACTACTTCCTTTTTGTTAATAAATGTGGATACATATACATGAAACAGCTCCTACAATTTGCCAATTCCCAGAGCTTTCTAAAAAATATGAAAGAGGTCTTCAAGCAAGACAGTTAAATATTTTTCAGAAATATTTCTATGTTCAGAAAGAACTGATGAAATTAAGAATGAACACACGAGGCCAGACCGAGTGCTTTACCACTTATCATTTGAAAGGTATGTTCCTCATGTCTTATATAAAATCCATTTCCAGTAGAAAGTTCAATATCACTTGAATAGGTACACCATTAATAACATTCTCAGAGGTTTTAAATATCCCCATAAAAAGCTCCCAGAACAGCTAAGGAAGAAAATAGAACTAGATCCACTTTCTATTAAATGAAAAATTGTACCAAATCATATCCTGAGATGGTGTACAGATTACGCTTGCATAAATTTTGCAAATATTRCAAATAACAGTATAAGAGCACATGATGGCAACAGAGAAAGGATTTAGGAAAAATCTTCAAGCTCCAACACTGAGAATACTAAATTCACCTTTAAAAATACCCAGATATTAACAAAACATATGTTTCAACACTAAATTATTACAGTTCTGTTGTTCTATTTTCRTATAGAATTAAGTGTTTCTGTTACGATCAGTTTAGCTCCGCAGTGAAGGGAAGGCATGAAAAAAAAAAGGGAGATAGACTTTTAGCTGTACCTGCACTAAAAGCCTAAAATAGCTTACTTGAATCAAAATTATGATCTTTCTTTAGAGGATTTGTCTCACGACATCAGAAGCTGAAGTTTTGTTTCCCACTGAGAATACAGAAGTGGAGCAGCACATTCACTTCTGTTTTTTTTTTTTTTTTTAAGACTTATAGTGGATTTTCCTTTCATCAAATAAGGAAATACAGTAAAATTGGAATGTGAACTGCTTCTTTTCCTCCCCAAAACAAACACCATCTCTACATGCCCTAATCATTTCTTGCCCTTAGCGTTTCTAAASTCTAGATCCTATGCTACAAATTTGCCACAGTGCTACAGAACCTACGCGGTGGAGTGCACTGGCATCACCTGCATCTTACTTTTGTTCTCAGTCCCTCTACCTTTTGCTCGCTGCTGCTTTTACCTCACCTTTGTACTGAGGAAAGTAGCTCTCTCTAATCTCCAGAACTACTTTTCACATATACAGATAATTGCTAACATGGAATGTTGTTGTTGTTGTTATACTCTGATTACAGTGAAACAAGAAAAAAGATACTGGAGTTAATTTTGTGTTGCAAGAGAGAAAAAAAAAAGTAAAAAAAGTCCTGAACACAAAACCATGAGAGATCGCCTTCAAGAGCTTAAGCAGAGGGCCAAAGAACTGCAGCTAGCTGGAGAAAGCAGCTCTACAACCGCACAGGAAGAAGAGCATGAAGAGCTTGAGCAGCAGGCTATAATTTATGAGAAGGAGCCCATAGCCGAGAGGCACTTGCATGAAATCCAGAAGCTTCAGAATGAAATTAATAATTTGGTGGAGGAGGTGCATAAGTTCAGTCTACAACAAAAATCKCTGGTATCTTCAATGAGAAGGTTCAGCGTCCTTAAAAAGGAATCTAACATAGCAAGAGAAATAAAAATTCAAGCAGAGCACGTTAGAAAATGCTTGGATGAACTGTCAAAAACTGTGAAAAAAGCTGAAAACGAACATGGGTCATCATCTGCCGTGGTTAGAATTCTGACTTCCCACCATGCTTTCCTGTTCCAGCGTTACCTAAATGCAATGCTCTCCTACAATGATGCTATAACTGCTAAGCAAGAAAAATGCAGACGATTTATTGTTCGTCAGCTRGAAGTTGCTGGTAAAGAGGTATCTGATGACGAAGTCAATAACATGCTCCAACAAGGAAAATGGGAGATTTTTAATGAAAATTTGCTCACTGAAGTCAAAATCACCAAGGCCCAGCTGTCAGAGATTGAGCAGAGACACAAAGAACTAGTCAGTCTGGAGAACCAGATCAAAGACTTGAAGGAACTTTTTATCCAGATATCAGTTCTGATGGAGGAGCAAGGGGAGATGATCAACAACATTGAAATGACTATGAACAATACTCAAGAATATGTTCAAGTATCAAGGGAAAAATTTGGGCTTGCAGTCAAATATCGAAAGAGAAACCCTTGCAAAGCAATATGCTGCTGGTGCTGCCCATGCTGCAGATGACAAAGAAATAAAATATCTGCAATATTGATGGTGCCTCTTCAGTATAAAAACTGAGCCAAACTCTGAATCTCTGTGTTCCTCTATTTTTCTTCCCATTCCATGAATCTCACCAAAAAGATGCATTTTTCCAAGCAGAGATGGAAGAATGTGACAGGATCTCCACCTCTTCCTGAATTTTATAGTTTACACAAACACACACACACGCGCGCGCGCGCGAAGGGGTAAGAATGAGAGGAATTACATGCTTTTGTTCTTCCACACTTCAATAGCTAAAGTTTTCTCCAAAATATAAGCCATGCTATGGCAACCAGCTGCCTATGATTTTGGGAAACATTAAGAATATTGCTAATCTCAACGAGTTAAGGCTCATATGACTGGTTTAATTACCTTTAATGAAAAGAAAAAAAAAGGTATTTTTAAATGCCCTTGTGATCTTTGCTTATGTTAACTTGGTTCAAATTAAGTTTGACTTCAAGACCTACAAAAATATCTATACATAAAGCAAATATGCTCAGTAAAAATAATGAACCTGAGGACTAAAGCAAAGAAAGCACCTAAAGGTTTCAAGAAGCACATTGAAACCAGAACAGTGAAAGACTATTGGAGCACTTTAGCTAGCTCTTACTTCCAAGGAAAGTTGAATTTAAAATCAATAGAGGGAGAAGGAAGSGGGGAGAGGAAAAGGAGCCAAAGGCCATCTTAACACCATGAAATAACAGTATTATATTAGCGCAAGATGCTCTGTCCTCCGTATTGTTAAACGGACCTCAGGTTATCTATTTTAACAGTATATCTTACACAGAGGTATTGAGCTGGTGTTTTCTGAACWTGTTAGACAGAAGACCACATCACCAAAACTATGGGGACATCTGTCAAAAAAACAGCTGAAAAGCTAAGTGTTAACAGACTGGCAGACTATTCAACTACATAGGCAGATCCTATCAGATAAGGGGAAAATGACGCTTCTATAAACCAGTGATAGGACGTATTCTTGTCGCTGTGAAGCCTGTGCAGCTAAGCACTTGTCACTGCAGTCTCCCTTCATCGAAGCCTCTTGCTCAAAACTGGAGAGGAATTTCTGAGCTGGACGGGAGCTGGCTGCAGCTCTCAGACACTGCTTCTCTGACAAGAACTGGGTCTCCACGGCCTGCATCAGGCAGCTGTGGGCAGGAATAAGTCCTCCCTCTAGCTCGCTGCTTCTGAGGCTGAGCAAGCCCAGCTCCGAGCTCCTCTGCCTCCCTACATGCTCCAGCAGCCAACTTGCACAGGAGCCTCACAGCAGGATTCCAGTATCCATCCCAAGGCTGGGGGGTCCAAATCCCAGCTCGGTATTGGACTTGGTTTACTTGTATTGCTACACCCATGGCCAAAACCAGCAATGGGGGGTTCAGACCACCAAGTGGCTCCGTGACGTTCTGCTCACACTGGARAAGGCCAGGAGTTTCACTTCAAAACACAAGGCTGATGTGCAAATTACAGGAGAGGAAAAGCTCCCCTCAGTAACTAATACTCATGCCGAAGACATACATCATCAATACATGGGCAGGCACTTAAGCATCCTTGAAAGCTTTAAACTTGTCATTATGCTATTTTTGTAACGTAACTGACACAAAATTAAAAAAAAAGAATAAAGAATACTGTTTCATTCAAGGTAAGCTATTTTAATATATTAAAAATAGAACTTAACACTTTCATAAAAAGTGCTCTGTATTATACTTCAGAGTGATTTATGGACTTGCATAGGTAATGCAAGACTCAGTTTTAAATATAGCAATCTAATCAAATCACGAACTGTAGCAAAATCAATGCTTTCTTAGAAGCTTGTGAAAGAAATATGCAAAAAGGCTTCTTTCCTGTTTCCAACTACTTTCACAAAAAACACGATCTTAATTCTTTACATTTAACACATCACACTGGCCAGTTTTGGCAGTCTCTATGCAACTTAAAAGATTAAATAATGTGTATGTGTTTAAGTTCTGCATTTTAAGAAGTGAAACATAATTAACATCAGAAATCCTTGGGCATATGCAAGTACCTGGACATTCCCATTTAAAGACACATGGAAAACGTGAAAATAGCATTTTCACTAACAGTGGCAAAAAAAATCCAACATTTTAGATTACAGACTCCAGACACGTTACATCTACAGATCAAGTGAGTCTTGCCAGCTCCTACCCCTTCACATCTGCAAGACTTGCAATGGAATCCAGTGTGGGGGGGAGGGAGGGGGAAAAACCCACCCTCTAGTCAGGATTAGATAAGCAGCAAACACAGAGCTCCTCATTCCTTGTACCAGCTCCATGAGACAGTGGCAGCTGCCCATCCTCCAAGTTCCAGTTGCACCAGACGATCAACATTGTTTGCCTCTCATTTTCTTAGTCCTACTTACTTTTTACTTCCCATGCAGCATTCCTTTAAAAAAAAAAATCTAGTTTTTCAAGCCTTAGTTTCATTTATAATGATGCTGTTGCCATGTCTGTATGTTCATGCATCCCTAATCACTTTTTTAAACTCAGATCATTTAAATCATGGCTGACAGTGAGGCTGGTGTAACAAAGATAGCACGTTCCTATCATTTAATGAAAATAAACAGACATTTTACTGTCAACACCTTCACTGAATGTATATTTTAGGTGGAAAAAAGAGCCGATAAAAGCTAAAGATGCCTAAAAATCTCCTTGAAAGATTTAATAGCTCTACAATTCACAAAGATATTTTTAGTTACATTTTATATATCCTGCTCTTTTTGTTCTTTTTCCACCTTCTAATGAGGTACCTTCGTGTGTCCCCTGATGTTGTAAACTGTTGAAATGAGGGGGGAAAGCTAACAGCAGCTACCCTTGGCCTCAACCTGTGCCTGAGGTGAGCTCATTTGTTCTCAGGAAGTGGCTGAATTAGCAAGATGGCACGGACACCACTGCTTTGCTTTCCAGCAGCAGGTCTTGTGGCAGTGCAGACACAGACAGAGCACGTGGACTGCTGCCTTACATGATCCCACTCGTTGGCTTCTAGTCTGCACCCAGTCCCTCTTGGAACTGAAGGAGAAATCAGTGCAACTCAATTCTAAAAGAAAGMAAAAGTGCAGCTGAAGTGCTACAGTTTCTTCCAAGAAACTCCCCAAGAATGCATTCCTAAACTCCCATGTGCTGTGCAAAAGCACAATCAATACTGCTTTATCTAGACACAGTCAGAGAAACCAGAACAAATGGCACTGCAGTGCCRAAAGACAGAGAGTAAGCTGAATCTGACTTTTTTTCCTATTAGCATGCAATTAATTTTCATATTGAAAGTCTATGAAACTACTCCCATGCTGACAGCTTAAAAACAGGTGGTGGATTCTTTCCACCTGAGCTTAAAATTTCAACCGAAATTAACTGTTCTCAAAGGAGAGAGGTCTAAACATTAAACTGAGAAAGAAAGCTCATCYACACAGTAGAGAACATAAATCAGGTAACAGCACCACTGATGCTACTCCATTAAATAACCTCCCTCATCTGTTACATAGACCATAGCCACCTTTACAATGTAGAAGCAAGTCAACAGGAAATATGAAGAAAGTTGCTACAGTCAACATGCTCTTATATACATATATGCATACATATATGCACAGACAAATATTCAAACGTATGTATATGCACGCATATTAGAGACATCTCCTCCTATMTCTTTTATTCCTGTTTCCCTTTTTAGGGGACACAGGTACCTCCCGCTGCAAGGAGCTTCTGGCTGGCCCTTCCCCATCACCTCACAGGGACTTCCAAATAAATCATGTTCGAGTCAAGGACACTGCAGTTATTGTTTCAATCATGGAAGAAAATTCAAATTTCAATAATGCTCATGACAGTAGCTACCTATCCATTAACAACTAAATAATTCAAGTAGTTTACAGCTACTTAGGGTTAGAAAACAGCAATGTACATAACATGCATAAAGAGCTAGGACAGAAAACCAGGCAGACTTGTGGAAAGCTTTTTCATATTGTGCTATTAACTGAAATCAAAACCAAAACTTACATTATCATCATGAGAATTTCATAGAGTACTCATAATGATCAGAAATCTCATCTA